ATCTATGGCTGGCCAGTGACTGATCTTTCCCCTGAGTCCCCTTCCAACCACAGTGCTCTGGGGGAGGGACACAGAAACACCACATTAGCCTCTGTCTGCAGCCTTTCTGTCCCTTTTGTGAGCTGTTTCTGCCTGAGCACTGGGAAGGCCCCCTGTTACAGGCTACCATCCCTGCTGGTTTCATCCTGTGTGCCTTAACACACACACAAAGTCACACATCACAAGTTTTGCTTGTCTGCACCTTGAGGTGCAGTTTCTCAGAAACCCCTGCACCTATCTCCTTGAAACATGACAGGCTTCATGCCTTCAGAAGGGGCTACCATCCCTGCTGTTGTAATCCAAATCTGCCAAAACATGACAAAGTTATAGTTCTTTCAGTGATTCTCCATTATAGTCTATGACTGAATCTCCAAATCTCTCCAAATCAGTGCCAAATCTTCCAAAGCTGATTTGGCCAAATAGATTTGGGACAGTGATCCAAATCTCTGAATCGAATCACTGTCTTCGAAATCGGCCAAATCTGAATTGAATACATCCCTATTTGCACAGGCCTACTATGGAGATACCACAAAGTGTTAAAAAGATATGAAGTTGTTCAACATCAACATAGAAAGCTGGGAGGAGTGCACAGAACCCTGCCTAATCCAGAAGGAACATCTGGTACTGGGTACAGTTCAACATGAAGCGGCTTTGATTCAGATGGAAGCAAAGCGAGAAAGAAGAAAACAGTGTGCTGTATATTTGGACACCAACTCGGACAACATATGGATCTGTGAAACTTGTAACAAGCTGTGTCATTTCTAATTGGGCTTGTCAGCCACAAACAGATTCATCAGACATGTGACTAGACCTCTTATGTGTACACCATGGTCCAGAGGATTGACACACACATACACAGACACAGCGCGCGCACACAGGCTGTTTTCAGATGTGAAAAAAAAAACTAAAAAACCCAGCGCTTTAGTTCGAGATCAGCACACCCCCACACCAAGCACAGCACAAGCTCAGAAGAGGCACCACATTAATTTAATCCAGTTTGCCCAACATCTGTATAGATCAGGTGCTTCAGCTGGGCTTTCTGGAGCTTTTATCTAATAATTGATTGAACCAGTTTTAGATTTAAAAGTGCCAAAATGCCCTGTTGAAGCACCAGATCTATACAGACGCTGGGGAGTCAGGCCAAACTACCATGCTTCCTCTTCCAGTAAAGCTCTGTTTTGTTTTGGTTTTTTTGTTTTACATTTGTCAGCACCCATAGGGAATAGTATGTGTGTGTGGTGAGCATGGGGGGGAGGTCTTTCTCCTTCTACATTATTAATGCTGTATTGATTATTTTAAGCCATATTTAATAAATATATGTATACAATTTTCATTTTATTTTTTAATTTTAATGTTTTTTTATTTTTTAATAAAAACGCAGTGCACATAATCTCATCTCCTCTTTTGCTTCTTTACTAATCAAATTGATAGGCAAGTTACCAAATGATACCTCCAGAAGCAAAATATTCATATTGATTGTACAGCAACCATATATTTGCTGTACAGCAACCAAAAAGTCATACCATATATTTATCCAACTGGGGGAGAGAGAAAGAAGCCAAAACTTCCAGTACGTTAATAAAAAGGAAACATTAAGATTATGTATAAAGTTTCTTCACGAGAAAGGAAAAGTTTTGGTCCTACCTGCTCATCTTCCAGAAGTATCAGACCAACAACTGCAATATTTATATTACCTCCTATTGTTCCATCTTTAAACAATGCAGACACCTACAATATTAACAACAAATCAATTGAAATATTAGTTAAATTTTAATGTCTGCTTTAAGCCAGAATTTTAGCATAGTTGAAATCTATTCCAACTGATATATTTATATAATAATGTTATCACACTGTAGCATAACTAGCAGTGGGTTAAGTGGAGTAATAGTTCTATGCACTGATTAAGAGGAAGCACAAGGATGACTGTCCCACACAGCCTAGGGCAAAAAAATTGCTTGTTATACCTCTATTATCACCATTATATCTACTGATAGATGGTTATAAACATGAATTCTCAAGGGCAAGATAACATTCATTTTAAAGATCAGGTACATTTAAAAAAATAATCTGTTTAAATTAACAAAAATGAATTTGATTCTAAATAGATGAAACTGTGGATTAAAATCTATTAACTTTCTAAAACGAATAGTCTCCTCAGTTTGCCTAATCAAATGTAGCACAGGTATCAAAACAAACTTCTAACCTCCAAAAAGCAACAGCTGCCCAATAAACAGATGGTCTAACCCTGTATTACAACTCTTATCTTTTATAAGACAAAAATGTGTTGTGATTCATAAACAGCACTTCAGGTTAATTTTTACTGCCACTTTCTGCCAGATTTAATGGTCTGCTGGGTAAACAACTGTAACAATACAAAATGAGTAATCAGTAGTTGCTGTTTCATGCAAATTCACTCTGTTAGGATTTTTATGGCTCATAAACAACAAACTGGGAAATGATGTAAGAATGGCAAATACTAAAAATAGCATATTATGAAAGGTTTAATTACCCAGTTGGCCTCAACAAGAAGTGCTATCCTACCATATTGAGTATAGTCAAGACGTAGGTAGTAATGTTTTCATGGCCATGGTTTTGCATCATCTTTTTGTCAACTACCACTAGAGTCTCCACATTCAATTCTTTATTCCTGTGGGCCTTTGGAAGGGACCGCTTGTTTCGTACTGGATACTTATATTCATCTGGTAAGATGTAAATATCTTCTTCTGGAGGTTTAGGCATATCTGTGAAAGGAAACAAAGGAGAGATAGGGAAGACAGAAAGCTTCATACAACAGAAGTAAGCCAAAAAAAATCAAAGCATTTATGTTTATATGCAACCAACTAATTGGCATGTACTGCCATTTCATCACAGTATCTTGGTCTATGAAATCAAGGGAATAAATGGCAAAGGAAGATCACAGACAATTCTGCAAAGAACTGGAATCGAGTTACATTCTGTATTCAGTCCCCTGCTGAATGCCAAATGTTGTAGAAGTATCTTTGTGCAAACTCCTTGGGATTTGTTCTTTAGCATACTTAAATGTTCGAAGGCAAACAATGTTTTCTTTCTTCCAGCTCTTATGAACAGATGTACTAATTTAACATAACTTTGTATTCATCACTGATTTGTTATAATAGAACAGCATGCTGAATTAGCTGGAAAAAAATCAGAAGCTGCAGAAAACTCAGATTACTCAAATAAATACAGTCATTATATGATTGGAAATTAAATAAGGCTTGTTTAAATAACTGCATTATGCCAGTATACACTGGCTACCTGTATGTAGCTCAAATATAAAACACACTGTCCTCTCATGACTGGCAGTAATTAAAATTAAAGAAAGTTTACAACAATGGCTTCTCAATGGCCCTTGTCAAATATAGGTGTTCCCTGCCCACTGGATCCTGGTATCAGGAGCATGCAGGAGGCCAACTTATGAGAAATATGCTCCAAGCAGAAGAGTCAGTATGACTACACGTAGGAAATCAAAAGAGCTACACAATTCTTCCACTGTCTCATAGCCCCAGATCATAATCTATTATTAATGGCTGAGACACTGGGCCATCATGTCCTACAATCAGATTTTTGTATGAGCTTTCACCTTTTCCTCAGCCTTTTAGAACTACCAATTTAATTAGAAAAAATAACATGGAAAAGCTGCAGGACAGTGCCAGGTGTAAAAAAGACATTAATAAGCTAACACTCTGACAAGGAAAAATTCACTATATTATTAAGACATGTCCCTGACTAATCAGAATATTCATAACAATTATTATTACAAAGGTAAAATTTTCCCCTTCTTGTGACTGGTACTAACAATATATCAGTATATAATATAATATAATATAACAATATATAAGCAAATCCCTTTGCCCCACACACAGCCTTTGGGAATTCCAGGTCCAAAGCTGAATTTTGCAACTCGAATTGTATCCAAATCCTGGATATAACTGCAGTTTAGCCCTACCTCTAGCTGTTACCTGAAATAATTTGCTTTGCTTTTAAAAGATGGGTGCTCTTGCATAGAGAACAGCAATGAAAACATGTGGTAGGTTAACAATAACTCAAAAAATGTGAATGTATACGGAAAAAATGTCCTTACATACATTTCTTGCGCCTCCCACAAAAGTGCTGTTTTTGCAGTCGCCCATGCGTGTGATGGCGCTGATTTTCTTGAAAATATGTGTTGTGATTTTCCAGTTCCCTTTGTCTCTCAATCACAGTTACCTCATTATTGTTGGGTACTTGGGTTTCTATAGATCTCTTGTACAACACGTGGGAGCGGTGTCCATCTGGTGCAGAATAGTTATGCTTTTGTGCTATGTGTGGAGGTAGTGGTTTCAAGAAGTAATCTGCTTCTTGGGTTCTTATCAAACCTGACTAGAGAAATGACAACAACAAAAAATGAATTTCAAGGCACGTGTTTTTATTAACGTGTCATTTTTCCCCGCACCAGTTTCCAAATAGTGTTCCTTCATTTTACTCCACACAGCTTTTTTCAGAGATGCATGAGACACATTAAACAGACGCAGTCTGAAGAAGATCCTATCACTTTCCACGCTCCATCAATAGGAAAAAAAGTATTCCTTACAAAAAGGCAATACAAAGTCTTTGTATTTACTTGCCATAATACAATTAAACAAAATTAGTACAGTGTTTTTCGGAACAGAGACAGGGATCACGAGAAAATGAAGTAAGATTTTAACTTGGAAATATGCGAGCTAATACAAAAAGAAGTAAATCTAAAAAATAAGACCACCAAGGGAAAAACTTCAGAAACTATAATGCTGCTGAAGTGGCATTGATTATAGACAGCCAGTTCAGATCTGAACTTGCAATAGAATAAATCTGCAAATAGGGTCTGTGCAACTTTGGGTAGTATATATAAATTCATTTTATGACAGAGGAAGAAAGTAGCAGTTCTTCTATTTATGGCCCTGGCTGCTTTGCACCTGAACACAGAGCTTGGGATATGATACTTAAATATGTAGCAAGAGACTAAGAAAACAGTTGGATGTACCATGAGAGAAATAATAGAGAACTGCAAGATTTGACCCTAGAAGCAGAATTAAGAGAGTCAGTATGAATAAGTTAGCAAGGAAACAGCTAAGAGTAGAACTGACAATGCACAGGGAGAAAGAAAATTCAGTGTTGTATATCAGAATATAACTAGGACTAGTAGAATGGAACTGAGAGGAATACAATGAAGGTTGAGTATCAGGAGAAACTTGCAGTGTGCTAGATCAAGTCTGTGGACAAGTCAACAGGGAAGTAGTGATAACCTCCTCATCTGAGACATTTTAAAAGTAAACTGGACAAAGCCTGAAGAAGTATACTGCTAGGAATAATCTGATCTTGGCAGAAAAAATATTAGATGATCTAATTGGTCTTTACCATCTCTGTGATTCTCTGTTTCCTAATGTAGCCCAGATAACTCGGGTATATACTCCCCTTCTCCAAGTGAAGGGGATTGTTAGCTGGCAGGTGTGCTGTGGGGGAACTGCAGACCGCTCAGTTTCCCTCCATCCCTGTAGAACCAGGCCAGGACAGTCAGGGGACTTAACTATATACACATTTATTTACATTAACTTGTTACAAGGGAAAGGAACATGGATATGAACATATGTACAATGTATATATTTATAAGATATCTAACCAGTAACATAAACAATACCTTCTGGGTAAATGACATAAAACCTTATACCAGTGCTCCAGATACAGGTAAGTCACAGGTAAGTATCTGATCTGAAACAGATAAACCCCAAAGATAAACTCAATCCTGAGGGGAAACTCCAATGCCCTTGGGCTTTTGCCAAGCCCTACAAAGAAGCTGGTAACTTTAGGGGGGCCCACTCAGTGGGACCTCCCCTTTCAGGAGCCCTTAACTAACCAGGGAGTGGGACTCCCTTCCCCTGTGGGAATCCTCTTTTCCCTGCAACTCACAGCACCCAGGCCTGGAGGGTGGTCCTCATCCTCTGTGCCAGGCTGCTCTCTTGCCTGCAGTGGGCTTCAGGAAGGGTGGGGGGGGCAGTCACTGTTCCCCGGAACAGGGCTCCGCTATGCAGGGCTTCTGGGGCCTCTGGCTTGGCCCTGTCTGCTGGCTCAGTAGCCCAATCACCGTCTGGCTCTCTGGACTCAACCTTTTGCTATGGGCCAGAGGCCTGGAATGCCTCGTGCAGCACCAGGCTCGGTCCGCTCCGTGCAGCCCCTCCTGCACTGAGCTCCCAGCCTCGTTCTGAGGGTTGAGGACCTGAGCCGCCCAAGCGCTCCAAAGGTCCTACTCCATGCACTGGCCTGTGCACCGTGTCTCAGGCCACATGCAAGAGGTTGCAGACCTGAGCCACCTCACACAGCTCCCAGGGTCTGGACGCCGTGTGCTATGCTGCACACCGAGAGCCTGACCGCTTGAGCCGTCTGCTGTTCCCCGCTGATAGAAGTCTTCAGGGCGCTTCTGGGCTACTGCTTCGCCCTGCTGAGCAGCTCTCCTCAGCTCTTCTAAGCCCTGCTCTTCTCTCTTCTTTGTCCCGAACGTGCTCTGCTCATGCTGGGCACACAGCTCTTTTTATATGCTCCAGGGCTCTGCCCCTGAAGTCTTCCAGACCTGAGTGTTTCAGTCTTCATAGAATCATAGAAGTAGGGTTGGAAGGGACCTTGTAGATCTTGAAGTCCAACCCCCCGCCTGGGCGGGAGAAAAGACTGGACTCAAATGAATCAATCAGGTTCAGGGTGGGGTGGGAACTCCTCTCCCCCTCTCCTCAGGAAGGGGGCATGACTGAACTCCTCTTGCTGCCTCCTGATTGGGGGGTGAGCTCCACCAATCAAAACAGCAAGATTTCAAGCCTGGGACTCAACCCAAACTCCAAAATGCAAGGCTGCTACACTAATATAAAGCCATATGCTCCCACACCTCTTGCCCAAAAACCTGTAACAGCTTGCTATAATAATTTGTACCCTAACAACAAACACAAGCTAAAACTTCCTACTTGTTATGTTATTTACTGCCCTACAACACAAAAGTGATTCCACAATGAAAATCCACTAAACACATGCAAATCTGCAAAGAAGAGGAATTGGCAGAAGGGGAGGGAAGAGGAGTGGGGGGGATGGGTTCCACCTAAAAAATATGTGAAAGTCAAAGAACCAGATAAGATGACTGTCCAAAACACAGTTACCTAGATGGTTAATTAAGCTTTATAGTTACAAAATATTGCACCTGCCAATAGCAATAATACTGGAGTAATAGAAATGGAATTAAATTAAGTGGTATAAAATGCAAGGCCATGAACTGAGGGACTAAGTAAAAACTTCTGTTACAAACTGGGTGCATCTACATGTGAAATTAAGGTGAAGCAATAAACTGTGGAGCTGTTCAAGCTGGAGTAAACTGCTCCAGGGTCAATGTCTACACATATGCCCAAGACAGCAGCAATTCAAGCCAAAGTGGAGCAGACCCAGCATGGCAGGGGTCATAGGGCATCAGCCCTGGGCTCCTGGTGGTAGTGTCAGGCCTTAGAGGGATTGGCTGGGGCACAAGGGTGCTGTACCTATGGAGTCATGTAGCTAGGTGACAGACAGGAGTCTGGCCCCCATCCAGTCACTGTCTACATGTGCATGTCAGCACAGTTAATTACTCTGCTGTAAGATAGCAGCAGAATTAATTACTTTACTGCACCCTGATACCAGTGCACGTATAGTAAAGCACACATGTAGATGCATCCACTGAGAGCTCCTCAGTTGCAAACAACTGAAGTGGTGCAGATGCTAGGTATACCAGCTGATCAAAGCATATTACAGGTTAACTATGAGCTGCCAATAGGTTGCAGCTGCTAACAGGAAAATGTGGTCCTAGGATGAATAGAACTTGTTCCACTAAAGACAGGATGCTAGTAGTGCCGTTTGTACAAGGCAGCTATGAGACCTCATTTGGAATACTGTATATGGTTCTGGTCACCTGCATTCAAGAGAGATGAGATCAATCTAGAACAGGTGCAAAGAAAGGTCATTAGGATGATCAGGGGGATAGACCATCCTGTAAGAGGAGTCAAAGATCTTAGCATGCTTAATCTAGCAAAACAAAGGTTGAAGGGGGATAAATAAATCAGGGGAGGCATTCAACTGTAATAATGATGTTGACATACCAGAAGATTCCTAACCAGTAGAGCAATGAAGTTCTGAAACAGCTTTCTTTACCTGGCATGGTGTGGGCAGAAAACCTAGCTTTTTTCAAGATGGCATTTAAGAAACTTATGGAAGGGGTTGTATGATATCACACCTGCCATAGCAGGGGACTGAATTTGAGAGCCCAGAAGGTTTCTTCTAGTCCTACATTCCTTTAATCCAACTGTGTCAGCTGATGTCTAAGTACAAAGGGCCATATTAAGGATGGGTAGGTTTAATTCAGATTTTAGGCAGCTTAAAAAGTATTTTGCTGACATTCACAACTATTCAGCTTTTCTTAAAAAGAAAATCTATTCAACAGGTGTTTACACCTCCTCTGATACTGGCAGGTCACTTCTGTGGCAGATGGAGGCTGCTCAACCCCCAAGCTGGATTCTTGCACTGAGCTGGCAAAATGAAGTGACCTCACTGTCCACAGAATGGCTGATACTTTTTTAAGAACAAGTAAAGGTGATAACTTCAATGAAACAGGTAAATACCCTACTGTCTTGTTAGCTCAGCTCATCAGGCAATGACTTGGGATGGTGACTGCTAAGTCAGCCCCTAGACAGTTGCATAATTACCCTGTACCCAGATGCCTGACATGGTCACATATAAAATCTGTCTGGTTTTCAAACCAGTCAGTCAGTCACCTCTGTCTGAATGCTGGCAGCAATCATTTTCACGTGTCAGTTTCCAGTCGTCCTTGCTTTTGAAATGTATCCTAGGAATGCCAACCAGTCAGCAAGGCTGATAACAGACAAGACCTGTATTCCTCCATGCCATGAGGCAACAACTAGGCCCCACCATTCCCATCTGTCTTGGGCTGTTTTTCGCTTTTTCTCTTTGTTGTTAAGACCTATATGATTTTCCTTTCTGAGTAGTGATCAGGGGAGGGATGTGGCCAGCCACCCGTTCCTTCCCCTGCCCAACAACAGGAATGTCTGTCATAGCAAATGCTCCAGCTTCATTTCTAGCACATCCCCAGATATTTTCATCCATTTTTCTAGATAACTTTAGAGGCAAGAGTGAATCTCAGCATCTGTTATAAATTCATTTAACTAAATACCTAGCACTTTTCTAAGATATTTGCTCTTAGAGGCATGCAAATATGTTATTTAATCTCCAAATGGCCAAACAGGACACTAGGAATTTAGGAACAGGTCACATCCCTCCTTATCCTTTTCTCAGCCTCAGGTTAAAAAAAAAAGGAGGTAGCCAAAAGGAAGGGAAACTCCATAGGATGTCATGGGAGAGTTCCCTGGATCATTTGACTGTGAAGAAAGAAGGGAGAAATGAAGTCCATGGAAGAAGTATCTATAGATCCCATGGAAACCACAAAGCTTCATAGTAATCCCATATCTTTCACACTTCCCCTTTTTCTTCTCCTTCTCAGGGTTGGAAAGTATATCACAGCCAGTATACACAAGGGCAAAATTGTAATTCATTCTCTTGATGCACCACTCTTTTTTTGCTGACTCCTTTGCAGCATTTGGAATTGGGGACTTGTCTCCTTCTCCAGGTACTACCCGCACACATGGGATTGACACAATGCTCTTTAGAGTTCGGAGAAAAACAGGGAGATGTGGGTAGAACCTATATGCAGAGAGCCTGTCCCTGCATAGATGTCCAGGAATTAAAGGGAATTTAGGACCAAAATATAAGAGTATAAATTTTGTATAACAACACCTGCGAAAACATATCACAACATAAGAGAGAGCTGTTTAACTGGATTTCTTTAAACTAATTATATTTCCCTATATTGTTTACAACTCAGTTACAGATCAATTAGAAATTAATAATCCTAGTAATCTATGGATTAAACTGACATTAAACTGAATGCACTCTTTTTTCCTTTTACTGTGAATGTTGTTTGTTTATACCTTTACAAGGTTTCATTAAGTTTTTTAGTTACATACCCTCTTTTTCTTAGGGTTTAGGAACACAATGCAGCTAGTAAATTTTTCAAGTGAAATTATAGTCTAATCACATATACCAGGGGAAGTCAACCTGCAGTATTAATATCACAGGTGGCACTGGCAGCCCATGTGTGGAGCATGCAGCAGATCGGGGAGGGAACAGGCAGCACAGTGACAGATAGAGCAGGAAACTAGGTCTGGGCAAAGTGGCTAGTCTTTGCTTTGGTTTTGGCCAGTTTGGGGGACAGTGATTCAATTTGGTGATTCAAATCCATTCGTGGTAAGCAATTAAGCTGCAGATTCAGTCCACTGGGCAAACTGCAGGGAGAGGCAGGACTGCCAAGGCCCCTTGGCCAATCAGAGGCATGGAGGTGGCCCTGCTATGCTATGCCTATGAAAACAGCAGCTGGCCCCCATGTTCTGCCTGCAAAACTGGCCAGCCACCTCCTCAAGTTTGGTAGACCCCTACTCATTAAACACATACAAGATGATGGTGTACATCTACACCAAGACAATCACCTTTTCCTCAGACCTTACTTGTCAGGTCCATCTATGTTAGAAACTCCTAGCTTACCCGTCTGGAGTTTGGCTCAGCTTTCCCCTAACCCAAGAATGGGCAATTACTTTGACTGGAGAGCCACTTAATAAGTTTTGGGGACCTGTCAAGGGTCACATCCATCTCTCTCTCTCCTCTTCTATCTTGCTGTCTCTCCCTCCTCTCTCTCTCTGTCTCCTCTTCTCTTTCTGTCTCTCTCTCTCTTCTTTCTGTCTGTCTCTTTTCTCTTCTCTCTTCCCCTTCCACTCCTTCCAGAACCCACCACAGATGTACTTCACCACAGTGGGTGGGTGGCAGCATCAGCTATGGATGCTGTCAGTAGGTTCAGGAGCCCAGACATAGAACTTGCCAGCAGCATCCACAGCTGATGCCACCAACCACCTGCTGTGGCGGAAGCCCCATCCGAGTCCACAGCTGATGCCTGATGCTGCTGGGTGGAAGCAGTGCCACCTGCCTGCCTAGCACCAGGCAGTGACCAGAGCCACTGGCTGTCCACAGGCCAGATCCATTTAGTTGGCAGCCATCCACCCGTGGGCTGGATCAAAGCTGTTGGCAAGCGGGACCCAGCCCATGGGCTGTATTTTGCTCACCTTTGCCCTAACATATCTATTCCATGCACTGGGTTCACTTCTTAAAATAGGAGCAGAGAAAATCTACCTAGATCGCATCTCTGGTGCTTTCCTGTAATGGAAACAACACAGAAGAAGAAAAAAGTAACATATATGATTCCTAAAAGTACTCAGCTTGAATTTCCTGTCCCCTTTCAGTGAAGCTCTTCTAGGAATCAGCCTGCATACTTCTTGTCTCTTTTTGTGTGCTTTGCATGTATAGAACTGCAAGATGATTAAGACAGATGGGACGCTTTTATAACAAAAGGATGTTGTTGAGGATAACCATTAGTGTTGCCTCATAGAGATATAGACATACCCTTAAATTTGAAACTTGGCATGAGGTCCTAACAGAGATTTATGATGTTTTATAGAGTATTGGGGGGGTGGGAAAGAACACCTAAATTTGAGATCTTTACAGGAACTTACAGTATTTGTTTTATATAGTTTAATAAAATAGGAAACATCATATGCTATTGGAAAAAAGATGTGACATTTTTTCTGCACTATTTTGTGTTGATTGCCTAAACAAGTCATGATCAATTTCCCATGCAAACCTGTTCAATAGGAAAAAAACTAATTTTCTTTTATATCCTTTAAGAAGGTCCCCTTGAAACAATGTTTAATTTTATATAGTATCACAAGAAAAAAATCTGACAACAATCCAGCAGCCATTTTCTTGAAGCCATAGCTAACATCACAATAATTTTCACATATTAATAGGGAAGGGGTGCAGCAGTCTGCATGGGAATTATTCTTTTTTATTATTATGACCACTTATTTTATTTTCTGCTTGACTGACCATCCAGCTGCTTGAAATTCTGTGATAGCTGAGAGTTAGTCAAGGAGACATTATGTTTTGGACACAAACAGAGACATGGCAATTTTTTTTTCTCCAACAGATTCAAAAAGCTATTTAATAGCATATGAAATTACTTAACTCATTGCTTTAATAGTAGAGAAATTCCAAAGAAAATCCTCTGAGACCGATTTCATTTTCACACCATATCAAGGATTTTAGGTTAGTTCATGCTCTAAATTCAAAAGTATAACTAATCAGCTAGCTGTATGGGGCAGCTGCCTCAAATCATACACTTGGCATGAAAATTCCTCAGAGCCTAATGCTGCTTTCACACCTTTTAAGGGATCTTATTATACTTTTGCTTAATACACTAGGAAATTCAACTTACCGTATTTGCTGATATGGAAATATACCAGACTAAATAAGAGTTTTAAAGTTCCCAAATTTCATATTTCTAGGAGACATTTATTCTGCTTCTAATTTAAAAGTTACCACTAAGCTACATTTCTGGATGGATTTCTCCTAGTGATTACTTTTTATCTGAAAATGAAAGTCAGAGAATGTGTGTCAATCAGATTCCTTTATACTTCAGCTTGCTTAGAACTAAGTCTGGGTGGCACCATATCACTGGACAGTAGCAAATGTGGTGCTTATATTTAAGACCATGGGGAAAAAAGTGATCCAGAAAATTATAGGCCTAAAAGTCTGATCTCAATATGCAGGGCTTTAGAACAGGTCTTGAAGGAAAGGATAATTACAAATATAGACATGAAGGGGAAAATGGGATAAAATGCAATATGGATCAACTTGTCTCCAGCAACATTTTGTAATCCTAACAGGATGCACCAGGAGAGGTATTATCATTAAAAACAGGGAAGTATTAATGATATCATAAAAGGCACTGGTGACACCTCATTTGGAATTCTGTGTACCATTCCAGTCACCTATCCTCAAGAAGTAAGTGACTCTAACTGGCACAGATGCAGAGAACAATTATTAGGATTATCAAGGAAATGTAGAATGTCTCTTATGAGAGGATACTAAAAGAATTCAGTTTTTTAAAATCTAGCTACACAGAGGCTAAGTGGGAATATTGTGACGTTTATAACTGCATTTAGATGAGAAAATACCATAAAGGAAAAAAGAGCTACTTAAATTTTTGATCAATGACAACACAAGAACAAATAAGTTTAAAAGACTCATCAATAAATTTAAACTGGAAATTAAACAGTGGTTTCTACCCATTAGGTTTTCAAAACAACCATCCAGTTTGAGTAGTGCTGGCAAATAGAAACCCACTGTTAATATGGAGCTCAATCAGTTTACAAGCGACGTTAGATAACGTGGTACATGCAATAGCAGAGGACCAGACTCAGTGACATAGGCAGGGCTTCCCAAACTATTTATGATGGACTCATGCTTTCAGAGAAGATCCTTCTCCACTATGCTTAACTAGATCATATCTTTAAGGTGTAGTCTTATGGTAAGTGTGGGTTAGACGCCATGTAGCAGCATGTGCATCAGAAAAAAAGCCTACAGACCCAGAGGCTGGAAAGAGATGTCTTATTTGAGGTGGTCTTGATTATTCTGGGTTTTGACCCAGATCAAAACAGAAGTGATACAGCCATTTACACACACACGCACACACACACACACACACACACACACACACACACACACACACACACACACACAGCCCCTCCAAGCTGCATTGAAACGCACACAAAAATTACACGTAAACCAGTATAAGTGATTGGAAACCAGTTCAAATCTGTAACACAACAGTGTTCAGTGC